CATCTATCATCTCTGACATTATATATAAAAGCTTTAGAACAAAAAACTATGGGTAAGATATAATAAATATAATATTTTTATTTTAATACCTCAATAACTCTTCACTAAGATGGCTTCAAGGTTCCCACGTACAGCTAGTCAACGGCCAACCACTCCATTTGATTAGATACTCATTGTCCATTGAGAATATATAGAGCAAACTTAAGACAAATTCCTTCAAATAAAACTGATACCACGAGACGTTGAACTTTGCACGAATTTTACTTACATTTTTCGTTCTTCGCTTTGAAATTATTCATTCCACAATATATAGTGTCGGAAGAGTCTTTCTCTTTCTTTTCCGGGCTATGTTGTACAACACAACTGAAGAAATATTATCCAATTGCCTTGTATAAATCAACATCATTTCTTTTCCTTGTCGCCATATTGAAACGTGCTCGCGGGAAATTTTCGGGCAGTCGCGGGCAATATTCAGGGCAATAACCGCTGTACAGCATGTCCGACACATGACCGATAAAGTTGGCGATGGTCATCGCAAATCTCGGGGACCATCAATTTCATGCATGGACAAGAATTTCCACGAGACATCGCTTAAATCTGGCTCCATATCCGAAACTAGTCCCTGTGTTACTATAATTCACACTGAAGAAAAGTTAGGTAGAAACGTGCACTACTTTGGTTAATTGAAAATTGAAATATGATAGAGTGTAATATTTACACAATTAAACATCTGGGGGTCGGCTATTTTGCGAGCTGCGAGTTGCGAGTTGCGAGTTGCGAGCTGCGAGTTGGGAGTTGCGAGCTGCGAGTTGCGAGTTGCGAGTTGCGAGCTGCGAGTTGCGAGTTGCGAGTTTCGAGCTGCGAGTTGCGAGTTGCGAGCTGCGAGTTGCGAGTTGCGAGTCGCTAGCCTCGCTTTGAATTAGGCTTTGAAAGTATATTAATATGGACGACATGGAAGGCAAAGTCGAAGGGTTTTTTGTTTCATAAATATAATGACCTTCGAAGTTAAGGTCCCTGTAACTAAGACTTCGACACAAAAGAAAATGCTACGATACGGACGAGATAAAAATCGGCCTTTACTTGTTTTTTTACTTTGTTAGATCCATCGATACGTATGTTCAAGAATTAAAATAATTTTATTGAAAATAAAAGTGCAAGTTTATATTTGCCGTTTCTGTGTTTAATAAAATCTAGTAGTTATCCAGACCATTTTGTGCTTTCTAATCTTAAAATGGTTATTTAATTTTATTAGTAAGTATGACCAGACACCGACTCAGTTTGTTTATATATACTGAACGCTGGGAACCCTATAAAACTCAAGTCCTTTTCATCGGAAGTACAATTTATTTTATACAATTTATACATAGACATACATATACATACATAAACTTTATCTAAACACGGGAAAAAACCATCAGTATATCAAAACGATTGCTATTTACAAGTTTGTAAGTATAAAAATAAATGCAATGAATGTTTATTTCAAAAGCTGAAAATTAGCGCCAAATTGAGACAAAGCTAAAATCACATCCGCCAGGATGCCATACAGTTTTCAATTTGAATTTTTAGTGTAAACCACAGGTGTAAACACCTGGTTCGGTGCTTCAAAGCTAGGTTAGTGTTAACCCTGGGTTAAAATTAAACCCGATGTTATTAGAAATTAACAATATACTCGTAACTCGCAACTCGGAACTCGCAGCTCGCAACTCGCAACTCGCAGCTCGCAACTCGCAACTCGCAGCTCGCACTATAGATAATCTCAAACATCTGAGTTCTCATAAATTTCAATGATCTACAGTACGCATAGTGTGTGTAACTCGTTTTTTTGTTTTGCGTTGAGGTTCGGCTACACACACCGGACGCGATTCGACTACGCAGCGCAATTTTCTTATTTTCACTGACCGATAACTTTGATCCTGGTTTAAGTTTTTCAAATGACAAATATGTAGAAGCGCTATAACACTTAGTTGAGTTATTTGGTCTACATATCTTTTAAAAAAGCTATTTTTTAAAAGCTAATTTTAAAATTTAAAAGGAGTATCATTGAAAAGCTCATTAAGAACTGTTCTTTCGTCCTGTGTAAAAATTGAATTGTTTAGCCACGTTTATGATAATTTTTTTTAGACACCCTGTATATATGTATATATATATATATATATATATATATATATATATATATATATATATATATATATATATATATATATATATATATATATATATATATATATATATATATATATATATATATATATATATATATATTAAGATGAAAATGTTCTAGAGTGTGTATTATATAATTTCCATACCCAACGCAAGCAGAAAAATGTTGTCTGCCGCGGCTTAACCTGAAGTTCAGGCCCTATCACAGAATAGGGCCTGACACAAAACCTATCTAAAGTGTGGGATTCCCGTCCACCTGGTGGACGGGAAATCTGATTGGTTGATCAGCATCATGAAGGATTTTGATTGGTTGCAAGTTCACGTAAACAACAGTTTTAAAAATAGCTCGGTCAAGGCGAGAATTAATACAAAGGTCAAACGCACGTAACAAATTCCATTATCGATTTCTTCGAATTTCTTTTCTTTTATGCTTTATGGCAGAAGATAAATCAAACAAACAGTATTTTGAAAGGGCTTCATCAAAATCTTTGACGAATTTGGACACACACGACGCTGAAAGAACAGCCAAACTAGTCATGTATTCGAAAGCTTGTTGTTGACGAGGGGCAATTCACTCCAAGAATCCCGTACACTTCGTCAAAAAATCCGGAAAAAATCCAGAAAAAATCCATGAAATCCTCAAAATCCGTTGAATCCATCAAAATCCGAAAAATCCTTTAAAAACCATAGAAATCCTTCAAAAATCCACAGAAATCCTTAAAAATCCTTAAAAAATCCGCAAATCCACAAAAAATATATGAAGTACTTGGTGTAATTTACTCGTAAAGGTTCTTTGCCACGTTCAAAATGGCGGACAGCGAAAGCTAAACGCTCACGGTGATCGCTGTCATTATATTTCGTAATTATTGGACCACTCTACATTTCCATTTATACGCTCGAGTATATGCTAAGTTTTTTAAGCCTATTACTACTAAATATGTGTTCTTGTTACAATGATGTTATGTTGTAAAATATAATTACAAAACCAAAAGTTATTCACCATTGTCTTTTACTGTTTTTGAAAGGATAATGAACTTGTTTCAATTTAAACAAAATGACTGCATGCCCAGCCTTCGTTAGTTTCTGAAGGCTGTGGTCCTAGTCCCAGTCCTCTGCTCGACCCTGACGTTCTGGCATAACGTTGACGTCGTACAACTTAAGATTATTTGTTCAAAACGTTACCTAGCTCTATAACCCTATAATTAAAAAAAATCCAGATAAAATCCGAACAAATCCGGAAAATCCAAACAAATCCGGAAAATCCAACAGATTTTCAAAAATCCAGAAAAAATCCGAACAAATCCGGAAAATCCGAACAAATCCGGAAAATCCAGCAAATTTTCTCTTCAAAAATCCGCTAAAAAATCCGGGAAAAATCCGCTAAAAAATCCGCGGATTTTTAAAAATCCGAAAATCCCGTACGCTTTTTTGGAGTGAAATGCCCCTCGGTTGTTGACAGCCAAGATGTTCTGCCAACTTGCTTCGCCGGCAAAAGTCTTATTTTTAATATCAGGTCCTACCGGCGTAATTGTTTCTGAGCTACATCGCCTTCTTCGTGGTATGATTGAGAATTTAATTGTTGCTGTTATTAGCCCGTTTATAGTCGTTAGAGTATATCCGCGTCCAGTAAAGTTGAGACCTTGAGAAAGCTTGGCAGTCAAGCCGTGCACAGAACTGACTAATTAAATCTTTGTTTGCTGTTCGGTTAAATAGAGAAACTGACTCTTAATTATATAAAAGTACTTTGAATTTTTAAGTTTAATTAAAAAGCAAAATGCTCTGCGGACATGTTCATGAGAATATAAATTTTTTCTGTAACGAAATCTACAACACTTGTCAATCATATTGCATGTGTGTCTAAAAATAACATGTGGGCGTCCCACGGTCTAGACAGGTTTTGTGTCAGGCCCTATTTCAAATTAGGGCCTGAACTTCAGGTTAGCCGCGGCTGGGTCTTGAACCCGCGACCTTCGAATTACTAGATCGACGCTCTACCAACTGAGCTACGCGGTCAGACGGATTTAAGACTGGAAATTATGAAATATATACGGAATGTCATAAACATACTCGTTTATATTAATTCAGCATCGAACAATACTAGCCTAATTCTGCAAGTGTTATGTTAAGTTGTGTAATTGTACACTCCGTAATATGTTAAGATGAAAACACTAAACACATAACACTAAACACTGAACACATAAGACTTGCAGAACTAGTATTGTTCGATGCTGAATTAATATAAACGAGTATGTTTTTGACATTCAGTATATATTTCATAACTTCCAAATTGTTTTAGTATAAATTTTTAATGAATGAAACAAAATATCCGAATATCAGTTCGATTGAATTTCAGCAATAAAATTGTTTTTGGCCTGTTCACAAATAGTGTTGCAGTGTTTCTTGTACGCACACGCTTTCAAAATGGCTTCTTGTGTGACTTTATTGCTTTATTACAAAGCTGTTTTTCCCAGTCTCGATTTTTGCTTGGAATATAAACACAATAACGGAATGACTCTTTCAAAATTAAAAATATTAATAATATATATATATATATATATATATATATATATATATATATATATATATATATATATATATATATATATATATATATATATATATATATATATGATTAATTTCAGACAATTTGGTTTACTTTAAGCCATTTAACTAGTATGCATTTCCCCCTAAAAATCAGCCTTTCGCATACTTAATTAATGCCTTTACCTAATTTGCATATTGCTGACATATGCAAATTAGGCTAAGGTATTTATTAAGCATGCAAAAAGCTAATTCTTTAGGGAAAAATGTAAGTTTGCATGTATAGTTAAAATGCTTAAACTGAATAAAATTATCTGAAATTTCGTGCAGCAATTAAACACCCAACACATTTTGCATCTATTAACTCAAAATATAATTATAGCTTTTAAATCGCGTGCGCAAGCCATTTTTAATTTGTTGGAAAGACACCCCCCCTGGTTTACAAAATTTGATTATAAGTACTACCCAAAGAAGCTATATAGCCTATATCAAAAACTGGATGCTAGCCTAATCGCTGTTTTGCGGAATTGAAAGCAATTTCATGTCTGTTCAGTTTTATTTCAAGTCTGTTCAGTTTTACATCCTGTACAGTCGCATTTTTTTGGCGTAGTTCTAAGTTTTTCATTTTTAAGCTCAAAATTTGCTGGAGGTTGAGAATTACAGTCATTGCCGACAGCAAATTCATATACAGTTCTGTACGAACAGTACACATCAATACGTGATGCCCTCCTCATATGACTTAGGTTAATACAGTAAATGTCACTTTGTATTTGCCCCTGTGAATTTAGCACTTTGTTCGTCATTATGTTCCAAAATTCATGGCGAAGAGAGGGGGGAGGAGTGGGGGCAGCAGAAGCAACTGCTCCGTTATATTATGAACGACGCCTAATTAAAAGGCGTTGGATTTGAAATAAAAATTATGTATGTATAATTAAATCCATCTTTAATGTCTAAGCACGTTTCGTGAATGAAAAATGGAAATTGAAATGCATTTATTTGGTAAGCTAATGGTATATCTGGTTAAATTTAAGGTTAATATGTTGGGCATCATTATTATATATTCACGTGCTGTATAGAAAGGTGACTTAGCCGCTAAAATTAATTCATGACAAGCGTCAGTTGCCTTTTTTTTCACGAACATCTTTATGAAATTATCGCCCTTAGTGGTTTTATCCACCTGCTTATCTCATTATTTAGTCACTTGCTCCACGACTGATATACAGAAAGCACGATTTATGATCTCGATCATGTTTAAAATGTTAACTTTGACCACAATGATGCTGATGCTTAGAATTGTAAACATCAATGGACAGACCTGTTCTCCCAGGTATTATGAGACAATCAGAAGAGGTTAGTTTTCTGTTTTATTCAGTAAATAAAAATATTGTCTTTAAAACGTAAACGTTTATCTGAAGCAAAATAAAATATATACAGTCATGATAATCTTCTACTTTCTATAATATTCTATTAACCAGTCGAAACTTTAAACTTTGGACATTGTGCTTTTACACAGGAGGTCCATCTTTACCTCCAGATGAAGTCATATCGAGTCACAGTGTTGGAAGTTCAGCTGTCCAGATAAAGTGCTTCAATCTTTGTAAGAAAGAAACGAAATGTGTTGGGTTTAACTACAGAATTACAACACTCAATGTTGAAAACTGCCAACTGACCAACGTGACTAAAAAAAGAGACACTACAAAGATAGGAGATTG